GGAGTGAGTGGCACTGGCAGAGCTGGGGGGGCAGGGCTGGGTAGCAGGGGCTGCGGGTCAGGAGTGATGGACACCAGCAGAGCTTTGGGGGAGACAGGGCTGGACTAGCAGGGGCCTGCAGGTTGGTAATGGGGGGCACCGGCAGAGTGGGGGGAGCCAGGGCTGGGATAGCAGAGGGCTGCAGGTCAGGAGTGAGGGGCACCAGCAGAGCTGGATGGGGGGCATGGCTGGGCTAGCAGGGGCTGTGGGTCAGGAGTGAGGGGCACAGGCAAGGCTGGGGAGGCAGTGCTCGGATAGCAGGAGTCTGTGGATCGGGAGGGAGGGGCACTGGCAGAGCGGGGGGGAGCCCAGGGCTGGGTAGCAGGGGGCTGCGGGTCAGGAGTGAGGGACACCAGAAGGGTTGGGGGAAGAACAGGGCTGGGCTAGCAGGGGCTGCAGGTGGGTAATGAGGGGGCACCAGCAGAGCTGGGGGGTGGGGTAGGGCTGGGTAGCAGGGGCTGCGGATAGGGAGTGAGTGGCACCGGCAGAGCTGGGTGGGGGAGCGCAGGGCTGGGCTAGCAGGAGCCTGGGGGTCAGAACTCAGGGCCATTAGCAGACGTGGGGCGCTCAAGGTTGGGGGGCTGCAATTAGAGGTTGTGGGGAGCAGCTGAATTGTTTCTAAGGGGATTTAATTGTCTCCAACCAAAAACTGTCTAACCTGAGGCACAGATTTCCCCTTTGGCATGTCCCTTGTCGGAGGTAAACCCCTGAACTCAGCGAGTGCAGGAACGTGTCTCTCTGAGCCGGCCCTGCCTCCCTCCACCAGCTCTGCGCTCATGGTCCGTGCTGAGAGCCCAGCCTGGGGCTTCCCAGCACAGCGAGAGGTGAGCTCGGCTGCCTGGGGCTGGATGGAACTGGCAGCTCAGAGGCGACAGCTCAGAGCTCAGGTTCCTAACTTGGCCTTAGAGCTGAGCTGGCCCCGTTTTTGCAGCGCGCTCAGCTGGAGACGCGTTGGGCTTCCCTTCCGGGGGGACAAGCTCTGACGTCTCCAGCTAAAGCCCACTGGAGATGCAGACCCCGGTAAGTGCTCCCCAAGGCGCCTCCAGTTTGGGCATCTAGAAAATGGGCACCTGGAATTCTTGGGAGATTTCTCCCGTAGAGTTTGGGAAAGTGTCCAGAAAATCTTCATCCCAATTGGTTAGAATCTGAGTGGTTTCTTGAGTGGGAATCTGGCTAGAAAGGTCGTGAGCTAGGGGTGGTGGTCACCAGTCGATTACTGAGTTTGGGGGAGGGAAGGTTTTTTACCCTAACCCCAGAACAATGACCCTAAACCAAACCTTAAACCCAACTACTTAGACCCCCAGCTCTGTCCTAACTCCCTAACCGTGACCCTAACCCCAGCATCCTAACCCCCGACAGATGCAGCCATTCCTTAACCCCAACACCCTAATCCTCGCCCTTTCCCTACAGTCCTATCCTTAACCCTGGCTCTCTAGCCCCTACTCCCTAACTCTGACCCCCAACTCTGACCCTCTCATCAAACCCAACCCCTAACACTAACGTCCCCACATTATCCCCCAAACCCTGACTTTAGATTGCCTAGGCTGCAACGGTCCTGGGATCAGTAGTGTCCTCATTGTTATTTCTCTGTAAAACTCCTAGACCACTGTGATACAAGTACTAACGACCAATTATACCCCTAACCATAACCCCAGCTCTAACCCGAACCTCCCCACCTTGACCCTCTGAGCACTAGGGTTTCTGTGACTCCAGTTGGGTATCAAGCAGCCCAGCATCAGAATTATGAGTCATCGTGGCAAACTGACCCCTTGGGATAGGACCCACGAGTCTCACTAATTCCCCCTGGGAAATGGCAGCAGAACCAGTTAGTATCTGAAGGTTGAATGGTTACAAAATTGGCTAGAAATCCAATCACAACATGTCAAATATTGAACTTGAGAGTAGAAAGGTATTTGACCCGAACCATTAAACCATTGCCCTTAATTCTATCCCTGCAACCTATAGCCCTTAACCCCAGCACCTAACCCTAACCACTAACCCTTAATCCTTCCCCCCCCCCCCTGTATAATTATAAC